GGTGTTTTCACTGCTCTTACTTGGAAGTATGTACATGTACATTTGCATGTGCAGATGTATGAAATATTTTGTTACATAACTAGATATAAACTGTGCCCTAGAGCCCCAACTACCATGGGAGCCCAGAGATTCTTCCTACCTAATACAGTATTTTTAAGTACTCAAGAAACGAAATGAAGGGGAGTATAAACGTTTCAATGAAGAGAAATAACAAAGATCATGCATTTCATGTAGAAGACTTACAGATTTCTTCTGTTGACTTATGGCACATGGGAATTCCCTGAAATCCTACACTGTTTAGAAAGAGAAAGCTAAATAAGAACTAGAAAGGCCAATATTTGCTTTGGAGCAAATACAGCGATGGGTTCACCACATTTTACCACATGGCAGGGAAAGAATGAGAAACACAAGGGAAAACAATGATTTACGTTGATATAACTATAATATGAAGTAACATACAACTAAAACAACAGTTGGATAGCTATTCCCTACTTTATTGGTTAGGATTTTAAATTGCATAATGCAAACTGTTGATTTAAAAAAAAAAAAACGTTACATGCCCCGCATTCCAATGCTGGAGCAGAAAAGCTTGAAATACCTACCAAAACACTTGAATAAAGACATACTGTCAGTATGGAAATGACTCTGTGCAGGTGTTAATCAAGTTAAATCCCAACAGCCAATCAGCAAGAAGTATAGAGGAAAGCTGCATGCCTATTGGTTGATGCCCTGCATTCCATTGTGATGACTCATGCCCAAACGTGGTAAACAAGGCACACTAACACAGTAATACATTTGCTATAACACAGCCAAAAAACTCAAATAAAACCATTCTAAAAGCCTGTATCACAATAATTTAAAAAACGCCTAGGGGTATTTGCCCACTGTACCTCCATACCAAATTTCAGGACCTTGGGCCCTAAAATGAAGAAGCTGAATCCATTTAAAAAATGGCAGGAGAAGGAGGAGAAGGAGAAGGAGGAGGAGAAGAAACATCAGAAAAAGCAATATGGGTTCACCACCACTTCGTGGTGTGGTGAACCCATAATGAAGACCTAATTTGCTGCCATTGGGTGGACAATATGATCAACTGACATAATACATGCAAATGGCGCTCTTTTTTGCAAAATCAATTATTAAGATCATTGTATAATTTGTCAACCGGAAGGGTTAACATCATTTCGCGAAGGTATAAGATCGTGGAACTCTTGTTGGTCATGCTGGGACGTGAAGGTTTAGTGGCCCGCTCCTGTAACCCATTGTGTCTTATGATAACAATTTTTTTAGAGAATGGTGTACATGTACTACATGTAGTGAAATAAATCACAAGAAACAACTTTGGTGTCTATGTGATTTTTTGTCTACAATTTTCAACTTAGGATTTTCCTTAAAAATCAATGGTACACAATAAAACGTACCATAATTTATCATATGATTGAATATTAATGTCTGCAAAGACTCTTACGTCATACATAGTCAAGCTAACCGCCATCTTGGAACGTCGATCTTGAAATTTTGAAAATATTATTCTTCAAGATACAGCCGCAAAACACAATGCAACTGAACTAAAGATGTTAACAAGAACAATTGATGTCAAAAATGCGAAGTTGTAAATTTTAGTAGAAAAAAATCAAAACATAGCAGAGCTAACCAATGACGTAATCAAATTAAACATTTTCAAGGATGGATATTACACATCATAAAAATACACAATATGTTCTTATTGTTAGAAAGTTTAATCCCAAAATTGCTAAATTAAAAAAAAAACAATACAGAAATGCATTGGTATAGCAACAAGAAAAACTTATCCCACTAATTGTTTCCAAACATTTCTTTAAACGAGGTCACCAAATTTGCTGGTCCTAGCGCAATCCGTTCCGGCGCTAGCCGAGATGAAAGTTGGCGCGGGCCTTAAAAGCCCCCCCCCCTCGTCTGAATATGGTAAATGTGAATTTGCTATCATTTCATAGTATTTAAATATAGTTAATGGGAACTTGCTATCATTTCATAGTAGTGAGTGTCATGGATTTTACACTTGCCGCATTTAGAAGTACATTAGCATCCCCACCACAGTCCAGATAGGGTTGAAAGTTTACTTTATTGAGTAGCATCCTACCAGTATTAAATACATGTAAGTATCTGACCTTTCTCACCAAGACAGGCCATCTTTGCAGCTGTGGAGTTTCGCTCGTTGTCCATGTTGCGTTTTAAGGCGTCGACAGTGTCAGACAGTCGGGATATTCCGTCCATGTTGCGTTTCAAGGCGTCGACAGTGTCAGACAGTCGGGATATGCCATCCACGTCGCGTTTCAAGGCTCCAAGTGTGTCGGACAGCTGGGAAAAGTCCTAAAAGACAGAGTCAGAGTGAAAAACTTTTGATATAGCAAGGGAATATACAGTAGTTTGCAGTTGCTTAGATTGACCGACCGGTACCAATGATAGAAGACGACACCCGACGGGACCCGGGCAGAACGGAAGACACGCTTTCGGGACGAATTACTTAGAAATGTACTTTGATGTGTCTTATTTACCCCTAATTAAATTGGGCGCACAAAATATGAAATTTTAGCAATTTGTCATTTCATTATGTAAATTAGGTCTTAATTTACATAATAGAATATGCCAATGTTGTTGTTCTCTCTTATACATGTCACAAGTGTTTCCTATTTGCGAACACAGTAGCTCTGACAGTTCATATTCTCCACTCAATGACGGTATTATCTTAAGAAATAAGGCTATTCTAGCATGCCCTTTTAAATTATGCAAATGAGGCCCTGATTTAAATAAATCATCTTAAGTGATATTGGAATTATTAATTTTCCAGCAGTTACCACTATAAAACTGTAGCGATTTGTCATTTCATTATGCAAATTAAGTCCTCATTTACATGATAGAAATGTACCAATGATCCGGTTGTTCTCAATTACATATATCAAAAGAGTTTCCTATTAGCGAACACAGCAGATTTATAGAATTTCCTCATTACTGATGCAAATTAGATCCTGATTCCAGAATTTCATTACTGATAATGCAAATTAGCTCCATAAATTTGCATAATTATCACGTGATTATGAAAAATCTGTCAACACCTTCTTGGGGTAAGGTCTAAAGTCTCATTCAAAATTTGTCTGTGCAGTGACAGTTCCTTTGATGCAGCCCGCCTAAAAATGCTAAAAACTGTCATGCCAATCTATCTTGAGTCGTGCTTAACTTCAGTGACATTCATTCATCCACCCATCCATACCTATATATATATATATATATATATATATATATATATATATATATATATATATATATATACGTCCAAACGCTACCAAAAACAGAACTGTTTGGGCAAAGGCAACAAATACCTTTTTAACATTGAACACCATTACGACGAGTAATACCAAGATGACCAAGGTTGCCACCACAGCAGTAATGCGAGTAATGCAGCCGCGGTAGGGACGAACAAAGTCACGGAGACCACAGCGGCCGTTTGTTTCACTCGGATACGTGTTGTCTGAAAGATAAAAAAACGTACGGGTTGTTCTTAGAGCTGCATTATTACACCGTGAGTAGCCGTTTTTTCGTGTTCGCAGCTAGAACACTGGATTCTCTTTGTGTAATCGGCATGCTATTTTATACGCCGCCTGTGGGCATGCCCGTGATGATGGACGAATGTGTATTTTTGCCGTTGCTGTTTTTGCGGTCAATGTAATATTTCAGATGCACCCCTACAATTATGAGGCAAATTGGAATGGACCAGAAAAATTACTATACTAAAATACTATTGTATGGATCATGGAGTGAAATACTGTTTTTCGTCTTTCTTCTTCTTCTCCTCTTCTTCTTCTTTGGGGCCAAATGACATGAAATTTCGTATAGAGGTAAAGTGGGTAAATACTCCCAGGCATTTTTTTTTTCATTTTCTTTCATACAAGCTTTAACAATCGTGTAGTGTCTACTTTAGATTCATGTAAAATTTGACTTTTTTATAGTTTTTTTTTTATCTTGCTCCCTAAAACGAAAACCAAATGACCTGAAATCACAAACAAAACATGTTATACATAACACGTTATTCACATATTTGGCGCATTGCATACACCACCTACAATCGCGTGAAATTTGCTATTTTAAGACAAAAGTGTACATTTTGGGCTCCTTTATCCACACATTTTATGGAAACACTTGATACTGGACGGAAACGGTTGATATGGAACAGTCCATTTTGGAATTGGGAGGAATTTAATGGACTAAAATATGCTGCATTTGCTCCCGAGCAAGTATCGGCGTTGTATTTTCAAATTACTTGTTCAACATAAACTACAATACACATTTTAATAGGTAAATACTACGTCTTAAGACTACTGTTAGTATTCTGTCCCCTGTATAATGGTAAGGCCCAAACAACTGGTCGGTTATTCGATTCACTTCAATAATAAAGCATCATATTTTGGCATCTTTACTTTCTCAGTGGCATTTATTTACAACAGAATATGGTTCATTCAACTTACTTTTCAAAGAAATAAAGAGAATTTCGCTTTTGTACATGTTGTAGAAATGAATGTACAGGGTCATTACAGAAAGACATATTTCAGTGGTGTAACTACACATTTGATTGTACCAAGACTGAATAAATCTAAATCTCAAAGCAGATCTTTTGGTGGAAGTAATACAGTGTCGGGTAAGAAGGGCCGTTACCGTTTGCCAACCGATGTTCGGCTGACCCCACCAAAAAATACCGGTGCAGAATTTA